TGCGCCAATTGCATCAAAAATTTCATTAGTGAATTCAAATGACAACTAAGTAGACAAGGTGGGTTTTTATGTAGCTGTACTGTTTGCTTTTGCCACATAAAAACCAATGGAGATTGATAAAAATAAGGAGGAAGGCAAGAACCAATTAAATTTTGGTGGTTTATCGTAAACATGGGAGTATTCTTATATCAACTGATACAAACATTGTATTGCATTTGTTTGTATCCGAAGTATTTGGTGGTCAGATTAAGCTTGCGTTGTTCGTGTTTTAATGATGTTTTGTTTTGTATGCATTCTGTCACTTTTTTATCGTTCTGCCGTTTGGTATTTAAGTTTACTCGAATTCACACGAGAGCTTTGAGTATAATTTTAGCTGTCATTGTAATTTGATTGTTGAGTTTATCGTACGTCCACTCTTTTTAACTACTTTCATAAAACATATGCGTTGCACATAAAATGTATACATACGATAAATCATAGTTTTGATTCATTTTGTATGAAAATTTCATTCATTCTTCAAAACTATTTACTATAGCACAAGTTTACACTGCAAAATACTGTATTGTGGTGAACTATCGAAATTAAAATAAACTTGATTTTGTAGATAGTACGATTGTCGATACTACGTTCGACATCTGTATGATTATTTTATCTATACTGCTACCATAGGTACCAGTACTATTATGAATGTCATAGAAAATTATGGTATGTAAGGTATAGTGTAATAGTATGTATCCATTGCCTTCATTAAAGCCGTTTATTTAAATTAGGTCGCTAATACTATGTTCAGATAGACAAATTTTCTTAAATTTCGTTAAAATAAATTTAAATTTATTTGGAAAGTATTCGTACTGCTCCACATTAAGCAAATCACATATTTTTTGTGTATAAATTGCATACTAAAAATTATATGCTCAAAACACTACTTGAGTTTGCGAAATTTTTAAAGTTGATTATTATTATTATAAAGCATGGCATTCAGTAATTTTAATAGCTTCATTAGATTTCAGGAATGTGGATTATTATTTTTCACCCTATTTTAACAATTACAATTTTTTCTCTATATTCAAATTTAAAAATTTCCACTACTTTCAAAATATTTTCACGGTTTTTAATTTATCAGCTGCTTTTAAACATAAATGTCACTTTTTCGTTATCTCAATTTATCTTTTGCTTATAATTTATCTTTCACTTAGTTGCATTAAAAAATTTTTATTAATTTCAGACTTCGTTTCAACGAAATTAGAGCCATTTTCCTTAGTTTCGTTCTGACCTTAAAACTAAATTTTATATGTAAAAAATTCAGTAAATTAATTTCACTGAAATAAGGACGATATAAAGATTTTTGGGAAATTAAGATGTTTTTGAACATAGTTATAATGAAGATGATTAGGCAAACAAAGAATTTTTGTGCTTTTTAAATTAGTTAAGATTTAATAAAGGGATATGTCAAATACCATATTGGAAAATATATTTCCCACAAGAGAAGTTATCGAAATTTGATTTATTTGACATATGAAAAAAATATGAATAAACAAGGAAAGTATTTTGTAAAGTGTTTGTTTTTTTTACACTTTCTTTTTAAAGATTTTAAATATTACACATTATCTAATCACATTCACTACCCATACTAACATGAAATCAGCATTATCCCGAAATTGCGGAAAGTAATGTAAAGTGCTTTTTTCAATAATCATTCGATTATTTTTTAATACACTTATAAATCCAATTTTCCATATGTACGTCTTGCTTTTTTGATGTGATGAACAATTTTTTAAACATTATATCCAAATTTTTTTGCATTTTTCGCTTTTTCCATGATCAATTAAATAACAATTAGTGTTAATAATGCACAACAATATATCATCTGCTGACAATTGAAAATAAACAAACAAAAGCTTTCCTCAAACTTTCAAATATACCAAATCAACTTATTTTAATGAAACGAACACATCTTAATTTCATTAATATAAGTTCATTTAATTGCGGTGGGAATATGATATGACAGTATGATTAAGCTTAAATTTACGAAGAATGTCGTTCCTTTAAGAAGTGTTCTATGATAACAGATATGTTAAAATGTCATGTGGCAACATTAGAGTTTTGAAGCTTCTGCCCAATGTATGCTTGCTTTAATTTTTAACATGCGCCTTCACTTTGTTGTGTTATTGAAAGCAAGAGTAGTGTGTCTAAAACTGATTTTGTTTTATCTTATCAATAATAATAA